GATATTTATTTGAAATTCACGATTCCAGCGTTTTTCCGCGTTTTATCGGAAATCTAGACAATGTCGATCAATACTCGTCGAACGCTATCGATGTTAGCCGATCCTTGATGCCAAGCTCTACTGCTGTTGTTGTTGCGAGGGCGCCTCATTATTATTTTAGGTGCGAATATTTTTATTTATCTACATTTTTATGCTGTCAGTTTCACCCTCGATAATCCACATGGACAATATGATTCGAGTTCTAAACTAAGACAACAATTTTATAAATGACGCAAGGGTGGCAATTTTCTGCTTCGCATATTCTTGCTCTTCCGATAGCGTTTTCGATATTTTTCCACAAAAATTCGAACGTTATTACTGCGATTTCGCAACGAATGTTATATTGTTATATTCATTTAAATATATCCAAAGGAGAATTGTTGGGCTTGCGTGGTGATTCACGGACTCTCCCTTAAGTATAGTGAACTGTATTTTTGATTTTTTGTACACAACTGACGAATGGTTTCTAAACTCCCCATTGGTTTTCACCCTGGATCCTGCGCTTTGATTTGATTGCTACAAAAGCTCCTGCGTTCTGACTGCTTGCTAGACAGAAGTTTTAAAAACGGTGTTGCCGAGTTGTACAAAAAGTCTGCATCCTGATGTAATTGGAAATTGTTCGACAGAACTCAAATGCGCTTGTATCCGGTGAGTGGGGAGGCTAATTTAAACTGGCTGTACGTCAAGTAATGTGGTCCCCAAAAATTTCATAACAGAGCCGCTGAAGCATGTGGTGTAGTTTAATTTCGTTGAAACTGATGGTTGGATAGTATTATTCATTCCACAGCTCCTTTTAAACAATGTTACCTTATTCCGTTTTGAACGATAATAATGTACCAGGGTGAATCAAATATAAACGAGACTTTTTTTGTAATTTATTTTTATTTTAATCGCAAAAAAGAGTATACTTTATTTTTCTACATAATCTGCTGATTTGAAAACACATTTTTCCCAGCTTTCCAATTCCTTCCAATGCAGGTCGTGTCTGCAGCCAATTGCGCAAGTAGGCTTCAACCTCAGCATCCCTATCGAATCTTTGGCCTCCCAAAGCTTCCTTGAGAGGGCCAAACACATGAAAGTCACAGGGCGACAGGTCTGGACTGTAAGGAGGATGTTCCAATGTTTCCCACCCCAGTTGCTCCAATTTTTCCCTAGTCAAGGCTGTATGGGGGCGAGCATTGTCATGGAGAAGAACCACTTCCCTGATCGATAGGTCTCGTCTTTTGCGGCGATATGCAAGTCGGACCTCACTCAAAACGTCGCAGTAGTAGGCCGCATTAATTGTCCTGCGCTCGTGCAAAAAATCGAGATACAGCAATCCACGCTGGTAAAAAAAACGGTAGCCAAAACCTTGCCAGTTGACAAACGTGACTTGGCTTTCACTGGTCCAGGTTCTTCTTGTTTTCTCCACTCCATACTCGCTTGTTTAGACTCTGGGGTGTAGTGGTGCACCCATGTTTCATCACAGGTGATAATGTGACTGAGAAATTGGTCTCCTTGATCCTGAAATCGTGTAAGAGGACGCCCACACACCTGAGGACGATGCAATTTCTGGTCAGCTGTGAGAAGGCGAGGAACCCACCTGGCGCAGACCTTACGGCTCCCAGTTCCTCTGAGAGTACGGAGTAAGTGCTCCCATAACTTATCCCGAAGTCGCTTGCAATTACGACGTCTGTCATCTTCAATAAGCCGTCGAACACTGCTGATGTTGTTCGCTGTAATGCTGGTGCGAGGTCTGCGGTCATGGCTCTCATTTTCAACACGATCACGACCCTCCACGAACTGTTTATGCCATGCAAACACTCTGGCTCGCGACAGTGTCTCTTCCCCGAACTGGGCAGTCAATCTCCTCAAGATCTCGCCCGGTTTTACGCCTTGATTACAATACGTTGCGCGATTGACGGTACCTCTTGCTCCGACATCGCCACTGCGGACACTGAGAAAAGTCTCATTTATATTTGATTCACCCTCGTAAACCAGACTTTCTTGTAAACTCTCAACGTAAACGTTCGATACTTCCATCCGCCAAGACTCGTCTTCTACCACTACGAAGGTTCAAATACTGCCCATTGTTTCCGGAAATTTAGAATAAATTGGCTTATTCTTAATGCTGAAGGTTTGCAAGTCTTCAATTGAAGTACTGATGATAACAGATATGGGACAAGAACTCCTAAGGCCATTAATATAAAAAAAAACAGATATGGGACATAATAAGCAAATGTCGACGGTTTTTATCCATTGGTGTAATGCTTCATGTCAATCTACTACTAACAAAAATAATGAAAGTGAATTTTGCTAAACGGGTTAGTTATAACTAATTCAAACCATATCGTTCATTTCGCGCGCCACCTTATAGATAATTTTTTGGCCATACAGGTTTGCAACACTAATTTTAAGGAAGATTTTAATTACTCTCAAGAAAGTACTTTTTATTATATAAACTTGAGCACTTGCTATCGAAACAAGCATTAATTTCATAATGCAGTACTTGATTCGATAAATCTGCATTTAGGATTGGAGAAATTTTCTGAGACGTGACAACATCACGCGCATTGCCAGCATTCTGTGTTGTCCTATTTAACTTTTCCAATAGCAATTTTCGCGTGATGTTATGAGAAAAGCTGTTGCCGACAATGCACCACGCCACCTGGAAAATTCTCTATTATACCGTTGGATTTCGCAGCATTGCCGAATATATTGGCTATGAGGATCATGATCTTAAGGAGACGCTACTCCAAAATACCTTTAACGGTGTATAAATTCCAGATATGAGAACCTTTGTTATCACGTTTGTGTAGCAACATGGGAAGTTGAGTCATGCAATAGAAACAGCTTTGATGAATAATCATATTTAACTGTAAATTCAATGAGCGTTTGCTTAAAATTTCAGGGAGAACATCCGGTGTCTATTTGAACACGTTTGTATATAACCAACATTTTTCGGCTAGGGATAAGCAGTTATATTTTCTGGTAGGTAGAAATATTGCTTGACGTTAGCACAGTATTGGAATGAGTGGCTTTTTATATATGCTTTTTGGAAGATGCTCCTCTTAAGCCACTCTGTTGGCTTACGTATGCATAGCATCGATAATGGAGATCATAATATGAAGTCAGAACGGAATTGCCCACCAGCCTGCAGACTGCATCGCGCCAGAATGGTTTTCTGGGTAAACAGCTAGCGCGGTTCCGTGTATCGAAAGAGATTCTCATTCATGCTGTTATATTTACGAAAATAGATTCTACACTTTCATTTCTTTATCATTTTGTCTGAATTAAGATGTAGTTATCGATTCCCTAGATTCTTAGATAATTCCAATCTTGGAAAAATGTAAGGGTTCTCGTCATGACAATATGCTTATCTTTCAAGGTAGGTACGGTTTTTCAGTTCATGTGAATTATTTTGGTTTCATATCTTGGCTTTAATAAAACAGAAGTTTCACTTCATATGCCAATTGCAATCGCGGAAGATTTCGTTTTTGAGATATTATGTTTTTTGGATATCACGAAAAACCATGCCAAACTCATTATTATTATTATAAATGATACGTCTTCAGTATGAGTCGAAGACGTTCTGTCGTTAAGAAGCTTCTGATCCAGGTAATAACGGGATAATTAAATGTTAAAAGTCCGATGTATAATGTGCTTATCGGCCCAATGCTGCATCGTCGTGGAGACCACGGCCAACTGAGCAAAGGGTAACAAACTCCAACTGGTGAATCTGCGGTGGTGTCGTCACTGACGCAGGAATATCCTTATAAATTTTAGCAATATTTGGATATTAGGAGTTTGTACCACTTTTGCGTTCTGCGATGTTTTTATAAATGATTTTAATGTTTTTATATCGACACAAATATATTTTCTGATTTCTGTGATCCTTAAATGTACCACCCATTTCATCTAAGCTTTAATTTGTGTTACTCCGTCTGTGATGGTTCTCTGAATATTTCGTCTCAGTACTTGTGACGTATTGCTATACAGCAGACATGGACTGACAAATTGACATAAATGAGAAACACGGACTTGTGTGATGCAGATGTCTTTTGGCAGCACAAAATCTGTGAACTGAAGTTTGGATATTATCGCGAGTTTAAACATTCTATTGTTTAGGTTGTCGTACATTTTGAAAATTGATTCAGGGGCGGCAGAACTACGGCAAAAAATCAAATCGCTGGAACATAGATTCATGCTCATTTTCAGACATTGTTTGAAGGAGATGAAAATTGTAGGCTGGAAGCTGTATGTGAGTAACTGGTTGTAAATTGTTGTATATTTGGTGTCATCGAAAGACCTTTTATATATTATTAAGAAGCTGCTGAACTCCGTGATAGTATGCACCTGTAAGACATAATAAGTCACGCATACTTTCCGTACATCTACATTGGAAAAAAAATATGATATATTTGCTTTATATAGTTTGATATGCAGAGGTCGAAGATTCATCGTATCTAAGGCCCGTATCGTCAGTCGTCCCTACAATTGTAGGACGCCTTTATGGCCTCCTTGATTGTCATAGTTTTCTACTTCTCCGTGTCAGCGCTCTATTTTGAGGTTATGTCACAAACATCTATTTGCATCAAATTGTGCTTGCTTTTGAGTTATATCATGTTTTATCAGCCTGAAATTTCCTACAATTTAAAAGGAAAACATATCTTCAGAAAAGGAGAGCGCTGATGCTGACACGGGACAAGTGTAATCTAGAAATTTTTGATGGTGAGAAAGGAGTATGACAATCAAGGAGGCCATAAACGCGCCCTACAATTGTAGGGACGACTGACGATACGGGCCTAAGTGAATCTACCTATTCACGATTCGATTTCGCCATTTGAAACGACTTGACTCGCCCATTTGAAATCTACAACGAAGGCGTGGGAAGTATAGAGTCAATTTACTTGATGCCATTTTTATCGTCCTAAGATAGGATTCTGACAGAATGAGTACTGAATTGCTTATATAAATTTGCCATGTATGTCATTTATTTCTTTGTTGCAGATGTTGGAGCGCCTGCCTTGGACATCCAGGATCTGACCAATGGGTACCATGGCATCGTGAAGGAGAACGAAACGGCGGTGGAGGTGACCCCCGCTATCCGAGCGGCCTCCCACAGGCCCCCTGCTTGCAAATTCAAAATCGTAAATAGACACCATGGGGACGCACCTTTCGATGTTCTCCTCAAACCCGACGGATACGCAGAGTTAAGAGCCAAACGGCTCCTCAACTGCGAGAAACGAAAGAATTACAAGTTCGACATTGCTGCCGTTGGCTGTGATGGGAAACAGAGCATTAGGTAAGTACAAATTAAGCAAAATACTATCGGACACCACGTTGCGGCAAATCTATGATAAATTATATAATAATAATAATAATAATAAACGTCTTTATTTCCAAATGGACTGATTATATAAAAAAATAGCCAAATACGGGCGAAGTTCAGCTGCAGCTGCTCTTCCACTTAACCCGCAATATGAACGCATAATAACGTAAGTTTAGGCACAACATTCATTGGCTTTAGTTTCAACAAACGCAAAATAATGTCAAGTTGCCTTGCCCAACAGAAGTTTGTTTACTTAATTTACTGTCAGTGGATATTCATTTTCGCTTTAAGATGTATAAATTAGCAGGATACCCAAAGCAGAAATCTGTCGAATATTCCAGAATGAAAACATTTCAGGCAGAACCATTAATCGAACAATAGCGGAGTGCGAGCAGGGAATACCATGAGCCGTATTCATAAAAGAAAAGCATATCCTCGGAAGCATTAAGATAAAAGTATAAGGTCTTACTTCGGAGAAAAAGGTAGAAGTATAAGCATACCCTTGCTTTCATATTCATAATGATTACCTTATACTCCCGAGGATATCCTCCAAGAAGAAGAAAAAGGTTGACTGTTTATCATGGAGGCTGGGAACCCCAAGATGAAGAACAATTAAAATTAAGATGGCGAATTTACGAAAAACAGATCTGAATTCCGTCCAGGACCTCATGAGAGACATTGGAAGAAAGTTGCGTCTGGTAGAGCAGATTCGGCCACTCCACATAATTCGATAGAATAGTTAACTCAAGTATTGAGTCATAATTTGTAATAACTAAATAGTGTTTAAATTTCTTCATTAAAAAAAAAATCCGATAAATCTTTTGTGTCAAAACTATTAGGACATACGTTAAAAGAAACGTTCCTGACAAAATGCGTACAAAAGTCCCAACGTTGGATAAAAATTATATAAAATACACACTGGGTAAGATTTTGAAAACGTTACAAGGCGAATGAACTCTATGAAAGAGATGAGAAATACCCTTTGAGGTATGCATCAAGAATGAGCCTTTGTATTCTATGGTAGCGCTTCGCTTTTTAGCGTTTTAGGCCCACCTGCATGACTAATGCGACTCTGATTTCAACGCCTTTCTTTTTTTTTCTTTCATGACCCACTGAGATAACGCCGTCGGCTTCTTTTGTTTTGCCTCGTAATTATGAAAGGGGGTGCCAAGACTACCGGTAGTTCAGTGACGTGCCAACCTACATGCGAAATTGTGCACATAATAAAAATTCATTAGAAACGCGCATTAAAGAATGAACTGCATTTCAGTTAAGGTAAAATATAATCGGTATCATGTGAATGTAGCATGCCAAACAGAAATAATATTACTTTTTCTTCTAAATGACCCAGAATAAATAAAGAATGTGTCATAAATGGAGATATTTTATGAAAATTGTTTGGTGATTAATTCTTATTGCACTGTATTGCGAAATGCATGAAAAGCATCAAGAAATCTAATACTGTTTCATTCTGATATGAAGATGTCAGTCGGGTTGCTAGCAGAAGCCACAACAGAGAGATAAATGGTTGGCAGCGATACTTTTACAGTTTAATGTGCCCCGTGCGGACGATGGAAAAGAGAGGAATTCCGAAAGAAAAGTGGTCCATAGATCAGCCGCCTTTTCTCATTTCGAAACTAATATCGTAGACAGCCGCGTACAACAGCAACAAACGGCATCCAGCCAGTGGCAGAAATGGTATCATTCAGACAAGGACGGATAGATATATCACGAAAACAGAATTAATGAGCCCAAGGGTTGGTCACACTCCAATTGGTGGCTTCAGCGGCCAATACCAGTTAATTTCTTCGTTGCTGTATATACACAAGGAAAATCACCAACTACTCTCTAGGTAGATATTTGTGCGATTTTGTCCTGTATACAGGGCGGCGCATCGAAAACGAAACAGACCCATTTACTGGCAGCTCAGTTTTTTTTAAAACGCTCAGACCCGTCGATTTTGTTTTCGAGGGGGACACAAGTTTGGCAAAAAATCACGGTAACACGTGCAGCCCCCTGGGCGGGGGTGACACCAACCCTAAAATCTTAAATGGAAAGGGGGATCGAGTGATACCTTATTTTAAAGGTATTTCAATTCGCTTTATAATGATGTAAAATACATGAGCTTCAGTTCAGTAGTTTTGAAGATTTATTGATTTAAAGCTTAAAGTAGACTTTAATAGGTACATCAGATTAGTTTGTACTACTTTTAGAAGAAATTTGACTAAAAGATTTTACTTAATAAGTAAATGCTTTTCTTCACTACGCCCATGGTTTGTTTATCATTTTGTTTTTGAAAATAGCTATTGGAGCATTTTTTTTGTGGAAATATCTCGTACTTATTTTAAATAGGAATTTAGTACATAGTTTGCGATTGATTTGACCAAACTTTGTTGCTAAAATAACTTGTAACGCTTTATTACATAAATTAACCATGGTATATTCCACAGCAGAAAGAGTTGAAATTATCGAAATATTTTTCGGAAATAATCAGTGCGCTAATAGAACAGCAGACATATTTAATGAGCGACATGAGAACAGTAACGTGCATCGAAAATATGTTCTAGAACTTGTAGCTAAATATCAGGAAACTTTGTCAGTCGCCAATACAAACGCAACATTGAAAATCCCATAAGGAACGAAGTAATAGAAGTGGGGGTTTTAGGGCAAGTTTATGTAGATCCTACATTAAGTGCCTGCAAATTGGAGAATGTGTGTGGTGTTAGTCGACGTACTGTCCAACGGATTCTAAATGCCCATAGTTTTCATCCGTATAAAATTCACCTGGTACAAGAACTTAATGAAGACGATTTTGATCTATGATTACAATTTTGTGAAAATATGAGTGAACGAATTATAAACGATGAGCATTTTCTATTCAACACTTGCTTTTCCGACGAATGTTCCTTTTTCTTAAATGGCGTAGTAAATCGTAGTAAACTGCCGATGTTGGTCCGATTCTAATCCCAGAATTTATCATGAGGTTCATACACAGCAGCCACAAAAATTAAATGTATTTTTGGCGATCATTTAGTTGGTCCTTTTTTCTTACCTGGAAATTCGACCGGTGAAATGTAATTACTGAAAGACGCCATAGATCCTGCATTAATAGCCATAATTGAAAATCAGAATGATCGGCGGTACATTGCCAATAGGTTGATGTTCCAACAGGAGGGTGCCCCACCACATTACGCATTACGTGTTCGACAATATTTAGATCAGACGTTTCCAGATCGATGGATTGGTAGAAGAGGTGCCATTGAATGGCCCCCAAGATCGCCAGATTTATCACCTTTGGATTTCTTTATGTGGGGTCATTTAAAAAGCAAAATCTATGCTACTCAGCCAACATCATTAGAAGACCTGCGACAAAGAATTGTGAATGGGGGCCTTCAAGTTACTTCTCAAATATTGCAAAATGTGCGGCAACGTTTTGAGCAAAATCTTTATTATTGCATGGAGAGTCATGGTGGCCATTTTCAATATTTACTAGCCTAACGGGTTAGTTCATTCTTCATTTCTAAATTACTTTGCTGTCAAATGTATTGATCTCCACTAATGATGATGTATTAGTTTTATTTAAGCTTTAAATCAATAAATCTTCAAAACTACTGAACTGAAGTACATTAATTTTATATCATTATAAAGGGAATTGAAAGACCTTTAAAATAAGGTAGCACTCGACCCCCATTTCCATTTTGGGGGTGGTGTCACCCCCGCTTAGGGGGCTGCACGTGCTAACGTGATTGTTTGCCAAACTTGTGTCCCCCTCGAAAAGAAAATCGACGTGTCTGAGCGTTTTTCAAAAAAAAAAAAATGAGCTGCCAGTAAAAGCGTCTGTTTCGTTTTCGAATCGCCACCCTGTATATCGAATCCAGGGCAAAAGAGCTCTGCACAGGTATTTTGACTGTTGTAAGGCAAACTTACTTTAGGATGTCGTATCTAGTTCCTTGTCGGATTTTACTTGTAATTTGTAATTTCGCCACACTTCGTTAACTACTTTTGTACATTTTGTACTTTCGTACTTGTATGAGATTTTTTAAAACTTTCAAACAATTTTTGGTATAACTTGGATTTGTCTATATGAAACGACATCTTATTTAAACATGAAACTTTGGCTAATGGAATCAATGGTAACGCAAATGTTAACTTGCTTTACTATGCTTACAATACGTCCACTCGCTATAATATCCAAACGAAACAATACAATAGACAAATACTGATAGAGGAAATTTAGACAAGTGAACACCGTGCGGTAATTCCCCTACTCGGTTCTAAAGCGAGTAGGGGAATTACCGCTCGCTGTTCACTAAACGTATGCATTATGTGCGGGAATCCCCGAAAATGCGTTTCGTTTTCAAGCAAACACAATGTGGGGGTTACCATTCGTGTAAAAAAGTAAATAACTACCGATGACGTAATCTTCATCTAGACTCCCCTACCCCCCATGTCATCCAAAATAAGCAAAGCTGTAGATTTGTTTCCGAAAAAGTGGCAAATCAGTCAAAAACACGTTTAGTACAATCACTACTGTCTGATCGAGAATAATAAAGAATCCAGTAGACAACACAATGTTGAAGACAACAGATTGTCTGTTCCATTAGATCTTCTCAAGCCCAAACACTGTACGTGCTATTAAATGTATTGGTCGAAAAACCACCCAGTGTGGCCTGAGAGTTTCGCAATCTAAACTAGATGGAAAAAACGCAGCATGTAGCAGTATAAATGAGCTGTTTTCTCATTTTGTGAATATTGTTTAAGAGGGAACGGGACGAAAAGACCGAAAGCATACTACGACAACATAATGTACAGAAGACAACCACAATTTCTATTTCAAGCATTTCAGCTCCGCATTTTTTTACGGAATATCAAAAAGAAAAACTGTGTTTATATCACAAAAGAGCAAATTTAGAACCGCAGAAAAACTGGGTCGTTAATTATAGGAAATAGCAGTCGGTCGTTTCTTGCAATTAACAACCCGTCATGATTCTTTTTTTTGACGTTAATCGGGCCTGCACAAAGAACTTTAATGATGGAATGGAAATTTAAACGAGCAGCATTTTTAAATATATTTCGTTTTTTTAATAAACGGTAATAAAATCTGCCTATCTAACGAATAAATGTTATCATAGGGTCATTCCCTTTCTTGTTACGAATTTATTTAAATAAGCATACTCAATATAATTGTCTTTACCAGAAAATAATACTTTGCGATATATCTACTACTCGAAATATGTAGTTCATTGAAAATGATACATGAACATGAAAAAAATGTATCGGCTTAAGTGATCTTGAGGCTGCACAAAGTTAGTGTTTGAATTATCCCAAAAACGAACGCTTCTTGGATTACAAGAAAATATCCATCAATAATATAATACAACAAGGTTACAGCAAATGATTCAGGACTGTTCATTCGAGATGTTTGGTAGAAATGAGATTCGAAAATTACGTCATCTAGAATTCACTTTTCCTTATATATTTTTTTCGTCACTAAATAACGAATGAGACCACACTCGCTCTATTTGAAAGAGCATAAATCGAACGCGAAAATAAATAGAGCTCAAGGACAATCGCTATGTTGCTGCCGCTACAACGTTCTCTGGTTGCCAATAATCGCCAAGGATACACCGCATCGTACAGTTGAAGTTCGTTAATCGATAACTCACTGTAAACTTTTATTGTTTGGATGCCGGTATTGAAAAAGTTGAATTGCGAGGAAAGATATTTCAGGGGTTCTCTTTAGACAACATCGCCACAAGTACCGACTATCAGGTTACATTGGTTATTCCAAGATAAATATTACAAAACAGTAAAATGTACTAGGGGCCGTTCAAGTATTACGTAAACAGATTTATTACAATTATTTACCCCCCATCCCCCCTGCCACCAAAACTAAGCAAAGCTCTTACCCCTCCCCCCATGCTTACGTAAACATTTGTCAATTAATGTATTGTTTTTTTTTAATATTATAATTATAACGTTATAATTATAATTTGAAAGATAAGAAAATAGATTTAGGATAGAGATTATATTTTACTGATACGGTATTCAACATAGAGTAAGGGACAAAAATATTATATCTTACTAACATAACAAACTTATTTTAAATTTTTTGTACATATATTAAATTCAAATTAAGTCTTCAGTCCATGAAACCCGAATCCATGATAAGTTTTCGATGACATTGGATTGCTTCGATTGCTGCTCAGTGTTGTGAGTTTGCTCGCTTTCTTCGGATTTTGGAATATCTACGTCGTTCTCATCGAGCCATTCAACAACATGGTGCTCTAAATTTTGAATAATGCACATCAGTTGATTAGCACGACGAGCAGCGACTCTTACAGGTCCAACTTTCCTATCAGTGTGTGTGTTTACTTTTTTATGGATATTTTCGATGTGACGATTTAGTGACTTGACGGAAGCATGATAAAGACCACACGTTTTGCATGTTCGACTTGATAGCCTCAATTTTACCGTCCGACAAAAATGATCGTAGGACATTTGCAAGAAATCTTTGAGTGAAGCACTTAGAGCTAAATTGACTGGAAGATTAAGAAATGGCCCTCCATCTAAATAGGCCACTTCTTGGACGACAGCATTCTGTATTTCTACATTTTACAATTTTAAGCAAGTATTGGCTATCACGCACATGTTCTGAATACCATTTAATGTCTCGAAAATCAGGAATATCTTGTTCACCTGCCCCAACATATTTTGCATTAA